CGTATAATCATTGATAATGTGAAACTATCATACTGACTATCTCGTATACCCGGTGTTAATGTGAAGCTACCACAGTGACTGTCTCGTATATCAAGTATTAATGTGAAGCTACCACAGTGACTGTCTCGTATACCCGATGTTAATGTAAAGCTTCCACAGTAACTGTCTCGTAAACCCGGTGTAAATGTGAAGCTACCACAGTGACTCTCTCGTATATCGTGTATTAATGTGAAGCTAACACAGTGACTGTCTCGTATACCCGGTGTTAATGTGAAGCTAACACAGTGACTGTCTCGTATACCCGGTGTTAATGTGAAGCTACCACGGTGGCTATCTCGTATGCCTAGTGTTAATGTGAAGCTACCACAGTGACTGCCTCGTATAATCATTTTTAATGTGAAGCTACCACAGTGACCGTCTCGTATACCTGGTGTTAATGTGAAGCTACCACAGTGACTGTCTCGTATACCTGGTGTTAATGTGAAGCTACCACAGTGATTGTCTCAAATACCCGGTGTTAATGTGAAGCTACCTCAGTGACTGTCTCGTATATCTATTGTTAATGTGAAGCTACCACAGTGACTGTCTCGTATACCCGGTGTTAATGTGAAGCTACCACAGTGACTGTCTCGTATACCTGGTGTTAATGTGAAGCTACCACAGTGACTGTCTCAAATACCCGGTGTTAATGTGAAGGTAACTCAGTGACTGTCTCGTATACCCGGTGTTAATGTGAAGCAACCACAGTGACTGTCTCAAATACCCGGTGTTAATGTGAAGCTACCACAGTGACTGTCTCGAATACCCAGTGTTCATGTGAAGCTACCAAATTGACTGTCTCGAATACCCAGTGTTAATGTGAAGCTACCACCCTGACTGTCTCCTATACCCGGTGTTAATTGTGAAGCTACCACATTGACTGTCCAGTATATTCAGCTTTAATGTGAAGCTACCACAGTGACCGTCTCTAATACTCGGTGTTACTGTGAACCTACCACAGTGACTGCCTCGTATACCTATTGTTCATGTGAAGCTACCACAGTGACCGTCTCGTATACCCGATTTAAATGTGAAGCTACCACAGTGACTGTCTCAAATACCCGGTGTTAATGTGAAGCTGACACATTGACTGTCTCGTATAATCATTGATAATGTGAAGCTACCACAGTGACTGTCTCGTATACCCAGTGTTAATGTAAAGCTACCACAGTGACTGTCTCGAATACCCAGTGTTAATGTGAATCTACCACATTGACTGTCCTTTATATTCAGTTTTAATGTGAAGCTACCACAGTGACTGTCTCTAATACTCAGTGTTAATGTGAAGCTACCACAGTTACTGCCTCGTATACCTATTGTTCATGTGAAGCTACCACTGTGACCGTCTCGTATACCCGGTGTTAATGTGAAGCTACCACAGTGACTGTCTCAAATACCCGGTGTTAATGTGAAACTGCCACATTGACTGTCCAGTATATTCAGTTTTAAAGTGTAGCTACCACAGTGACTGTCTCGTATACCCGGTGTTAATATAAAGCTTCCACAGTTACTGTCTCGTAAACCCAGTGTTAATTTGAAGCTACCACATTGACTGTCCAGTATACCCAGTGCTAATGTGAAGCTACCACAGTGACTGTCTCGTATACCTATTGTTAATGTGAAGCTACCACAGTGACTGTCTCGTATACCCGGTGTTCATATGAAGCTACCACATTGACTGTCTCGTATACCCGGTGTTAATGTGAAGCTACCACAGTGACTGTCTCGTATACCCAGTGTTAATGTGAAGCTGCCACATTGACTGTCCAGTATATTCAGTTTTAATGTGAAGCAACCACATTGACTGTCTCTAATACCCAGTGTTAATGTAAAGCTACCACAGTGACTATCTCGTATACCCAGTGTAAATGTGAAGCTACCAAATTGACTGCCTCGTATGCCTATTGTGAATGTGAAGCTACCACAGTGACTGTCTCGTATACTTGGTGTGAATGTGAAGCTACCACAGTGACTGTCTCGTATACCCGGTGCTAATGTGAAGCGACCACAGTGACTGTCTCGTATACCTAGTGTTAATGTGAAGCTACCACAGTGACTGTATCGTATTCTCGGTTTTAATGTGAAGCTACCACAGTGACTGTCTCGTATTCTCGGTTTTAATGTGAAGCTACCACAGTGACTGCCTCGTATACCTATTGTGAATGTGAAGCTACCACAGTGACTCTGTCGTATACCCGGTGTTAATGTGAAGCTACCACAGTGACTGTCTCGTATACCCGGTGTTAATGTGAAGCTACCACTGTGACTGTCTCGTATACACAGTGTTAATGTGAAGCTACCACATTGACTGTCCGGTATTTTCGGTTTTAATGTGAAGCTACCACATTGACAGTTTATTTACTGTTAATGTGAAGCTACCACAGTGACTGTCTCGTATACCTGGTTTTAATATGAAGCTACCACATTGACTGTCTCGTATACCCGGTGGTAATGTGAAGCTACCGCATTGACTGTCTCGTATACTCGGTGTTAATGTGAAGCTAGCACAGTGACTGCCTCGTATACCTATTGTTAATGTGAAGCTACCACAGTGACTGTCTCGTATAGCCGGTGTTAATGTGAAGCTACAACAGTGACTGTCTCGTATAATCATTTCTAATGTGAAGCTACCACTTTGACTATCTCGTATACCTAGTGTTAATGTGAAGCTACCACAGTGTCTGTCTCGTATACCCGGTGTTAATGTAAAGATACCACAGTGACTGTCTCGTATACCCGGTGTAATGTGAAGCTACCACAGTGACTGACTCGTATACTTGGTGTTAATGTGAAGCTACCACAGTGACTGTCTCGTATACCCGGTGTTAATTTAAAGATACCACAGTGACTGTCTCGTATACCTAGTGTTACTGTGAAGCTACCACAATGACTGCCTCGTATAATCAATGTTAATGTGAAGCTACCACTGTGACGGTCTCGTATACCTGGTGTTAATGTAAAGCTACCACAGTGACTGTCCAGTATACTCGTTGTTGGTGAGAAGCTGTCGTAGCGCAGTTCACCCTGGAATCTTTTGGTATGAATCGGGTGTTATATTCTTGAGATAACTCTTTTTGTTCGTAAGTGTCATACCCAAATACGTAATTGTTGTTTCCCTGACTCGTTATCAAAATGATACAAGAATGGGTTGGTTCGGAGCTAATATCCTGTGCCCGTGTTTTGTATGTCAAACTGCCGCATGGTATCTCAGTGGGCTAGCACCATAAAACCGTTATTAGTCCAGACCAGCACGCACAGCCACACACACAAACACACACACACACACACACACACACACACACACACACACACACACACACACACACACACACACACACAGCCACACACACACACACACACACACACACACACAAACACACACACGACGCTGTATATGTGCTATAGACATCAACACGACGTTAATCCCCGTTTGACGTCATCTCTTCTTCTTCCTGAACATGTCGTCTAAGGCGTTTGCAGTTTTGCGTTCCTTAGTAGCACCAGGAGCTATGATAGTTGAATCCAAGATTTGCCCTGATTTTACCTCTCTATGTTAGTCAGCACCACACCTATGCTACCAATCGTCAAAGACCTGCATCTCGTCGGTCTCTCTTACCACACCGAGGTTCCACTGCACTAAATCAGACTCAGTTGTTCGGACAGCCCTTTTCAAAAAGAAGATTTTGATATCTGGTAGCTTTGATTGGATGGCATTGTGTCAGATTGTTTTAAATGTACATTCAGGTTTTTCAATATTTAGCACTGTCACTTTAAACATAAGGAGTTACACCGAATGTGACCACATATATTTTCAAGGTGACATTTGGTGCGGAACTGGGGTTATGTGTTTAGCTCGGAAAAGAACATGGCTAAGCTTGCCACAATTTGTGATTCTATTGCAGCTTGAATGCCAGATTCTGCATACATGTAGATGACTGTTGAATATCTATCAGTAATTTCCTGTGGGAACTCTTTGGGTTGTGGGGCGGTCGGGTAGCCTAGTGGTTAAAGCGTTCGCTCGTCACGCCGAAGACCCGGGTTCTATTCCATACATGGGTACAATGTGTGAAGCCCATTTCTGGTGTCCACCGCCGTGATATTGCTGGAATTTTGCCACAAACGGCGTAAAACCATACTCGCTCACTCTTTGGGTTGTGTTTAACCTTCAAGCTGACACGCTGTGATATAACTGAAATGATGACGTTCACAGTGGCGTTAAACAAACCACACTCACACTTCTAAACGAACCACTGCACGATATGAGATGTACACATGACTCCTAGGTTACAGAGTCTCTTTACGTCATGGGAACGCTGACTCTGTCGGAATACACTCATCTTAATTGTTTTCGGATCGGAAGCTTGTAACGTGGTTTTGGAAATAATCTATTACTATGAGCTATATTCTATTGGATATGTTCGTCTGTAAGGCAGCTCTGTGTTAAATGAAGGTTAGAAAAACACTCTACTTCAGGCAGTTCACATGTATAAGTAACGTGCCCCGCAGAAAGGCAAAACGCTAGTCATTCAACTGGTGAAATGGTTCTCGTTCCAAGCAAATATTTTGGACATAGTCCAGAAACAACATATATTACCTGCTACTGCTTTCTGCAGCCTTGTTCGAGTACTAATTTTGTTAACAAACGTCCCCTAGATTGTGACCTTGATGCGAAAAGTTCGCGCCCAGGTCGCGTTCTAGGGAGTATTCTAGGGAGTTCAACGAGTTTTGTGGTTGTACAGTTGGAAACAAACGTGCCATTTTCGCAGTATGTTCGCACGTTGGTAGCGATGTAGGTGACGCTTCTTTGTAATAGAAGCGTATATTCTACCTCAGAAAACAAAGAATACAACGTAAAGAGAAGCGTACAAACCTATGCCCAGATGAACACACCTTTCCACATACATTTGTACTTGGTCATCCGAGGTTTGTTTCATGATAACAATAAAACACATAAGACTATGTACTTCTAAATATTTACTTGTCGTCGTAATGGGTATGTACCATGGGTTCTGTTGACGGTAAGTTTACATCCGAGTCAAAACCCTCGAAAATAAATATATAATATGATCTCCAGCAGCAATGTCCTTCCAACATGAGCATACATTGTCGTCCCTTGCATGCGTGGTCATTTACAGCATACAAAGATTTTGCCTTTTTATTGAAACAAACATACTGTCACTTGTTTTCATATATAACTCACAGCTATGAGACTGGCAAGTTAGACTTGCGTATGACATTTTCAGCCATAAAGAATTGTACTTCTTGTTTTTCAGTTTTTGTAGAGAAGTGCATTTTATACAAAATAATGTTATCATCTCGTACAGAGTTCAAACCATGTCCTTTAGCTATTGGTGACAGGCAAAAGACTCGTATCCATCCGTGTCATGCAGATTCTATTTCAGCTCATTGACACTAAACGAAACAACACCTGCGGAAACTGGTCTATTATATGTAACACATACTGTAATTATCAGATTCTTGTAACAATAATCCGTCAATTTTATATTCACAAAAATACATGGGTACTACAATTCATGACTTTCAGGACAAGATCAAGACACAAATACGTGCTAAATCGATACACTGATAATCTAAATTGGTTAATTTCACATAAAATATATTTCGTATTAGTTCGCGTTAACGTTTCAATATATATGTGTATAGCTTATGTTCATTTCAAAATGGTATAAAATATATAATATATACGTATAACCATGGAAATAGAGGAAACATCCAACAGGTGATGCAGGAGTGTTTTCGGGCTAGACTCTGGAATCGGTAACTTTCCGAGGGTATGACGTCATTGAGGCGGGGTCACGTGATAACGAGGGTAGCCAATCAGAAGACAAGGTGAACACAGTTATCAGCCATCTTGAATTCTAAACAGTAATGAGTACATGCCCACTTTCAGCTAGCACAGATCGCAGTTGTATGAGAGTGTCATTGTCACTGTTTGGCCTTGTTGCGGGATCCATGGCGTCTCACCTAGTCAGCACACATAAACTTGTAAAACTCTGAAACAAAGGAAACTCATATCATAACTCATTCAATTCTTCAGATAAATCATAAACCAATGCAAAATATAACCTAATGACAACTTCTTCACTTTCGAGTATGACTGTAACATATGCGATGCAATGCATAGCGGTAAACGACACAATCACATGCATTTCAATGTCAAAGAGTAAAATGACTGAAAGTTTCACTTAAGCTATTTGCAAAACGCCAATATTTCAGCCATTTTACCATGTTTTTTTCATTTATTATATTATAATAACGAATTCCAAACATGTATATGCTTTATTTCATCGCCCAATGAAAGTCAATATATATATTTTAATACATTTTAAATTTTGCTTCTAGTCCTAGCACAATTTGTCTGTTATGATGTTTTTAGCCCTTTTGAACTTCCTAATAACTTTAAGTCAATCCGACTAAAAATTACTTGTAAAATGATTGAATTTGTTTTGCGTTTTGTAAATTGCCTACATGAAAATTTCAATCATTTTACACGTTGACCGTATATATATATTCCAATCTAGGTGACAAAACTCAAACGTATACTTACTTAAAAAAACAGTACATTCATTAATCATGAGAACAATAGACGTACATTGTCATGGCCCCTTGAAATTACATAGTTACAGCTACACAAGTACTAGTGCAATTGCAATGTACTGTAACCCTTTACTGTAACATGACACAGCTGTTTGCTGTTGACGTAAAATGATGCTATTCTCTGGCTGGGGGATGATAAAATTCTTTCAATAAAAATGTTAGCGTTTGGTTGAGTCTTCACTGCCCAAGCATGCTAGCACAATGCGTAGTTTACAATAACCGTTGTTTTATGGGACAAGCTGCAATGACAGGCTTTTATTATTTTTGTGTTGATCGATAATTTTAATATCTTGCTTGGTTTGAACCACAGACAAGACCAATTGAAACAATGTATGTGATGGTCAATGAATATTCAAGGGTAAGCTGTGGCAACCGTGTTAGGCTTCTCACATCTGTTCTGCTGAAGAGTGAGTGAGTGAGTGAGTTGGGTTTAACGCCGCTTTTAACATTATTCCAGTTATATCACGGCGTGTCAGCTTAATGTGGGAGGAAAGCCCGAAGTGATGCAGGTCTCAGACGTTTACCACTTCGGTGAAACCCACGAGCACGGGTATGGTGCTGACAAACCTAGAAACATAATCGGGGCGAACCGGGATTCGAACCCACAATCATAGGTTTCTGGCGTGCCCAAGGGACGCAACTCTGCGCAGCGAATCGCGGCGCCTTTAACGACTGGGCCACCCGTGCCCCCCTGTTCTGCTGAAGGTAAATATAAAACGTCAATGCCAGAGAACAACCAGTCTCGATTTTCTTCCGAAAGATAATACAATCGTAAAAAGCAAAATAGTGTTTTAAAGTATATGAATGGGTCACTGAAAATGACACCAGGTGTTCGAGAAAAGGGTGAGGTAAGTGTCACGTCATAGTCACAATTACGTCACCTTGAGATTTACCTTAACGTCATGACGTCAATCTGGGACAAGACTATGTACAGTAAACTACTGTTATAACGAATTCAAAGGGACCACTAAATTTAGTTCGTTAAGACCGTAGTTCGTTATAAGCACATATACAGCATATATACAACATTTGGACCGGACCAAAAACAGTTCGCTATATCATCCAGTTCGTTATAAGCGTGTTCGTTATAAACGTTACTGTATTGTGTTTAGTGTTGTTGTTGTTGTTGTTGTTGTTGTTGTTGTTGTTGTTGTTGTTGTTACGCTGCCCAGCGAAATATGCTTCTAATGACATAAAGAAACGACGTATTTTCAAGACGGTTTACAATATTAGTAATTCTCTTTGATTGACAACAAGCCTATGTATGTTTATGTTAGCAATTACAGTTAAAATGTCATAAACTGTCTGCAAATACTTAAGTGATTATCGTAGACGTCAAATGGTTGAAATGAACCGTGGCGGGTTTGTTTTTTTCCGTCTCTGTAAAACAGTTTTCGCGATATGTTCAAATTTTTTTGCCTCGTTAAGTTTGTGAGATATTCCACACAGGTGCATGACGATCAATTCTATGTTATCTTGGAGAGCATTCATTTACCTGTCGAGCTGAATCCACCAGCTCTGCCAGCCATCCCTACGTACACTGCGAGACACGGTATCACTACAACAGCGAGAACGCTGCCCATCCATGCTGATTAGCAGGTGGAAGCGTTCATGTGAGAATAATAGGAGAATGACAGGAGATTACGGTAACTAATTCCAGGCTAACCAATGAGATCTGACTTTATCAAACGTTTGTTGCGACGTAGAGTCTGGATCGACGTTTTCCACGCCGCAATGTTCATTACACCTGCATGTGTTTAAGTGATTCTAACAAACTACCTTGAACCTTATTAACTTATAGAGTACACTTCTTTGTCTAACTCAGGGGATGCCATTCACGAAATGTGAATCTTTCAAATACGCTTAAAAGCCTGGATTAAACAGTGGTAGTACACTATTAGACACGGCATTATTCTAGGGGTGTTTACGTCATTTGTCTGTCACAAGAGAATTTCAAATAAAATCAAAGCGAAGTACAAAACTGACATCGGGTGTTTGTATTTGACGTATGTCCTGTCCTGCCAATAGCACCTATACACCTGACCGCCTCCGTGGTCTAATGGTACAGCGTCCACCCTGAGAGCAGCAGGTCCGGGGTTCGATCCCCAGCCGCGTCATACCAAAAGACGTTAAAATATGGTACTTGTTGTTACCCTGTCTGACGCTCGGGATTAAGGGGCTTAAACAAGGACTGGTCGGCTCGGAGTCAGTATACTGTGTCTGAGTGGGGTATTCATGTTAAATTGCGGCATGGTATCCCAGTGTGTTAGCACTATAAATCGGCATCAGTCCGGACTAGTACAAGCAGCCACACACACACATACACGTGAATGCACGTCGCTATATAAGTGCAATAATCTTGGACGCGACGTTAAACCCCATTTCACCTCACCTCACCACGATACACCTTGTAAGCCCCAATACTGCTTTATGCAAGCGGGCCCACATGTATATCAAAGTGACTCTTACCACAACATTACCCGTGAAGATCCGGGTTAGAATAGGTCTTCAGCAACTCATGCTTGCCGTAAAAGGCGACTAACGGGATCGGATGGTCAGGCTCGCTAACTTGGTTGATGCACGTCATCGTATCCCAGTTGCGTGGTTCGATGATCATGATGTCACTTACTGGATTGTCTGGTCCAGACTCGATTATTTACAGACCGTCGTTATATAGCTGGAACATTGCATGGAGCGGCGTTAAACAGCAAACAAATGTAATTGGAGGTGATTTCTTTTCTGAAAGTTTTGCAATATTTCAATCCAACCATCGGTGCTTGTACATTGGTCAGTACGTGCTAACATGTTGTTCAGCACACTAAACTTGACTTGCCAAACTGCAGATACCATTTGAAAAGAAACACCCCAAGATCCATAATGAAATGATATAATGTAGAAATTTATAGCTCTCAAAGAAGTATTTTTGGAAATGTAATACTATTGCTATTATAAACATACTATGATAACCCTGAACCAGATAGCCTCAACCATTGATAATGTAAGATGATATAATAACCTCTTCACTATATAACCCCAAACCTTGACAACGTAAGAATGATGTGCTACCCTTTGCACTAGATGAACCCCAATATCACAGGAAATTTGAGGGTGATGAAGTCTCAAGCCTCTCTATCAAAATGGTTACTCGATCTGTCATCGTTCATTTCCACAGTTTAAAATGAGTTGCATGAGAACAGCTGTTCTTACTCTCCAGGCCCCTCTGCCACAGGTGTATATTCTAATTTTAATCTTTTCACGTTAACACAACATAGGGCTCCACCTACACTACAAATAGGCTGTATACGTGTCAAAACGTGACATAGTTTACACCTGGGTAAACCATGGTATATGAAAGTTCATAATAATGAAAAATCCCGTAAATGTAAAATTTATTTCCGAAATTGTTTCAATGATATATATGTATCAATAATCACAGGCAAAATACTTGTAAAATGCGGACCAAAACATCTTGTCGACATAAGGCATCGAAAATATGATTAAATCTTAATAAGAACATCATCGCTATTAAATCATATTATGTTTAAATAACGTCAGGTACCATGCACTCACACTCCAAATTTACGACCTGTCGCGCATTTCTAACGGTTGTGTGTTGGCAACGTTCTTTTAACTGTGACGTCGCTGCCCTATAACCTTGTTGCGTGACGTCATAGCACAATATGGTGTCAACAACAGTATGTTCATGTTTCTATCAATTTGCTCACAAATAGGATCTGTCTGGCATAATATCTAAGAAAAAAGAGTTTATGTAGAAATGCAGGACAATCATCCATAACTGAGGACGATTAAGTCCCTGCTCGATCATCATGAAGATACATGCTCTGTTCCCCATTGTAACCAACCGACCGACATTTTAGTCGGCGTTAAACTAGTAATGTGTAAAAAAAATGCATAAAGGAATTCAGTCAGCTCATGTTCAAACCTTACTTAAGCATGGTATATGCATGCGTCATTAAACAGGCAGCCAAACTTGACAAATGATGGGTTGATGATATTCCTTGCTTCTTAGCAGTAGGGCAGTTCCTCAATCGTACTTCCTGCTTGGGTTCAGAAGTGACACGTGTGGCTGTTCTAGCCAAGGAATCACAGACAGCTAGCTCTGTTCGGTCATATGTAGGATATCATATCCACCTAACCATGTATTCCTATCATTGTCGTGTGTCATTCCAAGACACTATTACATTAAAGAAGAGAATTCGTTAACCAAATTATACAAACGTTACCAAACGTTTACCAACCCACCCGATCCACAGTGATGATTTACAACACTGGTTTTGCGAAAACTCTTCACATGAGGCCAGCAAACCACACGCTTCGGGGAAGGAAACACCGTATAAACAAATCCAAATTAACCGTATAGTGGGTACCGTATTCC